AACAATGAATTACCCCCTCAAAGATGGACAATGTTTCCTGATTGGGATGATCAATCTCTTGATATACCTGGTCCAACACCCCCTCCATTAGACGATAAGACCTATGAAGATATGTATAACTTTTTTAAGACTGAGGCAGAAGAATATAGTATGAAAAATAGGATAGAGGAAGAAATGAATCAACAAGAGCAGAACCCAATAATGACATGGACAGAACTGACAGAACTTCTTAAGAAGGAAAAAGAGCAATTTCAATTGAAAAAGGAAAAAGAGAAGAAACCACCTCTGAACAAGGAAAAAGAGAAGAAAAAACCTCCATAGAAGATAAATAATGATGTCATGTCCGAGAATATCTTATCGTTGACAAGGAAGCATTATTTGTTCCACTGTTATTCTCATTCAATAGTAGTGTTCATCAGGAAGCTGATTTGAAAAGTAAACATAGGTAAGGAAGTTAGAATTTTGAATTATGAGGCATTAAATATTCTCTCATTCCCTCATTCTGAGATTCTGAGATCGTCACCCCTGATATACAAAATCCGTTATAATAGTCTGTGCTATTGGAAACTCCGACGTTTTTGCCCCTGTACCGGCGCCGATGGCCATAGATGGTACAGTATGTCGAAGCCAGACATCCGGACTATGATATATCAATCTAGTATAAAGGATTTAATCCCCACTAGATCATGACATATTATACCCTAAAGGTATGCACCTTGTCTTGAGTACTTTTTTTTTTTTTATTAAAGGATAAGTACCAAGAGGTATTGTTCAAACGCACTTATAAAATGGGGCTGCAGGGTGCGAACCGCAGGCTTGTAAATCATTAGGTATTTGAATATGGATATCAATGACTAAAGTATCTTCCCACAAAACAAAAGCGCTAGACCCCTGGTCCTTTACTTTAATCAACAACAAGGCTGCTTTCCCTGCTAACCCTTCTCGCCAAGGAAATAAGTCCAATAGAGCAGCTGATCAACGCTTTGAGCACTTATTCCTTTTGTCCCCAGCTACCTCTTAGAGTAGTCACGAGCTTATTGGAATAAGAGCTTTTTCAAGCATTCCCATAGTAAGAAGGTCAACCGAAGCCAATCCATCTCTGTTAACGAATGCTCCTACTCCTAACGGTTCTATATCCAATTCCTTAAGGATAAGGAATAAGGAAAGGGAAGGAGAGAACAGCTACTAAGAGTTATAAGAGCCATACCACAGAAAGCTAAAAGGAGCCGGGGTCTACTACTTTATATACGCTAGCACCAAAGCAAGGAAAGAAGGCAAGGTGCCCAGGTAAAGGCTAAGCTGAGTCGGATGGAGAGAGTGGCTCATCCATCTTTTCGTCTTTTAGACAAGTATAGTAGGGACTTTCCTGACTTCTTCTCCTAGTGAGTGAAGCGCGTAAACAGCAACTGAAACAGCCTTTCCTTCACACAAGGTTTTTCATCCTTCTCCGACCAATCCTACCTGACTTGTCTTATCTATGCTAATCGTGTGGGACTGGCCCTACTCACTTACCGGAAAGAGCAGAAGGCATTGACCCGCTATCCCCTTACCGGGCCTCAAACTCTTCGCGCAATTCAATACCCGGATAAAGATAAGTTATTCGTTTGCCGTCTCATAAGAAATGGGAGGCCAGGTGCCGATCCGAAAAGACAGGATACGCGAGAGAAGGGACCCATTAGCCACCAATAGTAGAGAGTGGGGGCGGTAGTGCGGTAGGCATGCTAGCGTAGGATTTTTGATCGATAGGCTAGGTCCAAAGGAAAAGGTCTTCGGGGAGCCCTCCATACGAGGCCGATCCGATCTCCATTGTGTAGCCCTTAAAGTGCTGATAGACCGCGAGCTCCTGTTGTTTATTGGCATGGACTGAACATGGTCCCTAGCTGTGAAACGTATGTGTTTACTTCGTGAAACCTTAGTAGGATGGTTCACTGGAGATGCAGTGTACTCGGCTTTTCCGTTTTTTTATTTGTCTTTGCCTCCAACAGTTGACTGGGCTATAGCTAAACCTGCCCTTTGTCTAAAGATGTGGTGCCACGAGATATTCGATTTGAGAGTACCTTATCATTGGGGCATGCCGGCAACCTTGCGGCTGATAACTATCTGGTGCGGGAGTAATCCATCGAGCTTAATGCTTGGTTGAGTATTCTATCGCGCCTAGTCAAACAGGCATCCCTAGACCTATGTGTCTTGTGTGCTTATTAGTGCCATTTAGGTGGTGGCCGAAGGTTAGGCGTACACATGGGCTCATCCCCACCATCGATCTACAAATTTACATTTTGAAGCAATTTTGGTTGTCAAGTCGAGATATGAGTGTATAGGGGCGCCAGACTCCCTGTGCTGTGATGGGTTCTGCCATGTGAAAGCGGTGAACTAAGGGCTAGGCTAAACCATGATGCTGTGTTACTAGGCTTCGCCTCTCCCTTCACTATGAAAGTCTCGCTCCTATTCTTTAAGAAAAAGAAGATGGAAACTGAGCTTTATTATCTAATGGAAGACTTTTATTTAGAACACAGACGGAATGCGGATGAAAGCTTTGCATCTTCTAAGCCCTGAACTCTTTATTACTTTCTTTTTCAGGCCGATTACGATTATAAGGCTAAAGGACAAGGAATGCGCTTAAAATAATGCTTTGAGGTCGCCAGTGGATGGAAGCCGAAAAGCTTACCACACAACTCCACAACACAAGGAAACTCCCGCTACAGAATCAGAGCAAGAAACTCCTGCGCGAACTCACTTACGGGTATTCACCCTTGTCCGTAGGGGATGGGATTAGATTCATTTAGAATATTTAATTGATTTTGGTCTATCGCTTGTAAAGCATCCCAGGTAGTTCTCTAAGCACCGGTTAACCACCTCCCTCACAGTTTGCATGAGATTCCACTTATTCTATGTCATTTTAAGCCTTAGGTAGTTGTTCCTCCAGCAGTTCTGTTCTTGGTCTGATAGTCTTGTTAACGCTTTCTAATCTACTTTATTGTACAGATCTTCCTTTCCTTCCTCGTCCAGTGACGGATTTGCTCCCTATTTAAGGAAGTATTCTTCTTTAGTAAGAAGAGTACTGCCTAAAGCAATGTGAGTGAAAGTGTCTATATGGGAGTCAACTCCTTTTCTGGTGTAGATCCCCTTCCTTATTCATAAGTTCCCCGGGTACAAGGAATGAGTGCTCCTAATGTATTTTCTCTGTTTCGGTGTAGATCGTCTCTTTGTCTATGGAGACCTTTTCAAGTCGTCCATTCTCTTCGGTATGGATTCAAAGTCATCCCTCACGCGGGTGCAGGGAGTCCTGCTTGTGCTCTTTCTTTGTGGTCCAGGCCAGGCACTCCATATGTGTTTCGGTATTGATCTGAGCACTCGTGTAACTACTAATAAAGCTCGAGGGACCTTTCTTTCTGAGGGCTACCGGTGTGACTTCTCTTGGTCAGGTCTAAAGGTCTAAGGGGAAGCCCTTTTCTTATTAGTATTAGAGGTGAACCTACTACTATTGAATAATCCTGGTAGTCCAACTACAGAAAAGGTTATTCCTAGAAAGATTGTTCCTTCGTTTACTAGAACGAGAAGTACCAGATGGGGGAGACCCGCTACTTCAACGAAATAGACTACCTCACTAAGATGGCTGTCAGCCCGAGTGCCTGTCACGACCACAACTACCAAGATTCAACCGTCTTTTGTTTTGCTGCTGCTGCTAATCCGCTTCCGGCTATTCAGCCAGCGGAACCTGATATGGAATCAGTCAAATATGTAATCAGGAATAGGTTTTTTGTGTATCGACAGGGTCCAGGGGCGAGCAATGTCTCCGATGAGGAAATCAATAGAATTCTTGATCTAAAGCGACGTATTTTGAATCGAATGGGGGAAACGGGAAAACACACTAATTCGTGATTACCTTCTGCCTCCCCGGGTCAAAGTGGATGTCTTAGAAAGAAAGCTCCATGACCTCAATGCCACATAATCTAAAATATATAA